ACAACAACAACCACAACAACAACCACAACAACAACAACCACAACAACAACCACAACAACAACCACAACAACCACAACAACAACAACCACCACAACAACCACCACAACAACAACCACAACAACCACAACAACAACCACAACAACAACCACAACAACAACCACAACAACAACAACAACCACAACAACAACAACCCCTACCACTACCACTACCACTACCCCTACCACTACTGCTACTGCTACTGCTACTGCTACTGCTACTGCTACTGCTACTGCTACTACTACTACTACTACTACTACTACTACTACTACTACCACAAAAACTGCATCAACTAAACAATCCCAACCACAACACCAACACCAACCGCCACCGCCACCACAACAACCAACGTTGTATACGTCTCACCTCTTTGCACCGTTCCACCGATCGCCCGCTGAGCGTAGGTCCCGTTCCACCTACGCTCAGAGGCCCACAAGTCAGAGGCCCGTCCACGTAGGCCCCATTCTTAGACCTCAATCCACAATCCTTTGAAACCTCAACCACCGTTCCCTCCAGAACTGGTCTCGCCGCTTCGCGGCAAGAAACGCCGTCCGCGTCAACACCCGCGCGCCCGGGCGGGAGAACGTGTGCAGCCCAGGGGGCGGGTGCGGAAGTGCTCGCTTTGGAGCCGGCACAAAGCCTCATGAAGCCTCGTACAAGCACTGCGGCTGGGCTGGGGTGGCTGGGCTGATGAGATTTTGTGTGTGCCCCAAATACGGGCAGAACACTGGAAATGTGAAGATTCATAGCACCTTCAGAGGGGTCACCAATGAAAGCCTTTCTTTTACTACGTTAGAGATCTCCAAACACTCGGACATCCCTTGCAAAACAGTTATGGCATAGGTTCCCAACACTGACCAAGTTTTTTTAGGGCTCCAAGTACCTCCTTAGAAGGTATGACTGGGCCCACCCCAAACACCTTCTAAGAAGGTCCTTGGAGTTTTAGGGGATGGCTTTGCCAAGTTTCTTCCTAGCCCCTCAGTTTGCCTCTTCCTATTTTCGTGGGGTGCAATCCACCCAAAAGGTGACCTGCAGGTGAGGAACACCTACGAAACCTGGGAAAGTAGATATCGCAGAAGCAGGGCTACATGAAGTTACATGCCCAAACCATCCATGTAAGGAATATGATGGAACAATAGTTGCACACAATGGGGGTCATAAATGGAGTAATATATAATAATTCGAGCCCCATGGATGGCTTGGGTACTCAAGTTTCTTTTGGTCACCTAGGTGTGCAAGCTGCTGCCAAATGATGGGTATATCCAGCACTCAGTGAAATATACCAGTCCAAATCGAGAAATCTAACACCATGTAGATTTCTTCATGAATACAATCCCCCATGACAACATATGACAGCAAGTCGTGAAGTAGAGTCCTTCCAAAAGGAACATTTGCTGCAGTTGACATGTATAATGTATATGAGTGATGACGAGCGATTTGACAATGGAGCTGCTCGTCCCCTTTGTTCGTGGGACATCCCTTTACCTTTGGTGCCTAATTAGTTGCATGTCTCCTCTTTAGCTTTTCACAAATTACGCTAATCTCCAGAGTGGGTGTCGTTGCGAGACTCTCGCAATGGTGAGGAATACAATCTCCCATATCGAAGAGGTGTTGTATCCAAGAAACGTGAGCGTTGACCGCTGACCTTCAGCACTTTGCTCAAATGTTTAGGAACCACATGAAGCAACAAATGACAAACATCTTCCACTCAATGTCAATTATTAGCTCATCTTGTTGCCTCTCAACACATGAAACAAATAGAAAACGTGACCTCGCTCCTCTCCTCCCGATTTCAGGGCCTCATCCCCGACCGTGACGCCGCCTCGTGGTGCGCCGCTGCTGGTCGCACAGCCGCAGGGCGCGGCGGCCATTTTCGCCGCGCTCGCCCTAGCGGAGCGTCTGAGTGGGCCGGCCGTTGGATCCGTTTGAGTCCACCGAGGTGGTGGGAAGCGTCCAACTTCGGAGTCTCGGTTTGGGTGGGTACATAATCCCGAGTCTCGGTTTCGGGGGGGCGGCATGTTCTTTTTAATAGGTGGACAGGATCAATAGCATGATCTGACCCAAACCTGCGAACACCCTGGCACATCCATCAGATTGGATCGCTCGGACCGAGCTTGTTGGTGCGACCGAGCAATGGAGCAAGGTTCGTGGCGCTCTCGACCCACCAGGCTGGCTCGGTCAACAACTCACTATGCCATCGATTTCTGCGCTCTCAACCCCTGAAGATCCAAAGACCAAACGGGTGGTGAATTCCAGTCACAAAGACGTATACCCTAGGTTTTGGCTGATCAGGTCATGTTTTCTGTTCCCTATTGATATGGGTAAATCCCCGGCACCGGGAAATAGCTGTTAAACGTTTTTTTGTTAAGCTTCCGAAACGAGCAAATCCAAGATATGCATGACTATATAATATATAGTTCAGAGACGTGTCTCTGCCCACCAAAACCAGATCCAAATCGATCCATCCGCAGTTCGGGCGCGAACTTCCTTTTCTCCGCTCTCCCGCTGGGCAGGCCGAGAGTCCGGAGTGCCGTGCCAGATAGGGAGAGATTAATCACCTATAGACAGAATAGAAACCACCAAATGAAACTTGAAACCTTCCATCTTCATTTCAGGGTACCATATTCTTCTGAACAAATTTTGGAGGGAGAAAAGCTGAGAGCATGCTGAACATGCCCAGAATTGCACCAGTATAGCATCATATCCCAAAGCATACATGGCATTGGAAGAGTTACAAACATTTACCCCATTGTGACCCTAGTTTAAGTCATATTTATAAATGGTTCATACATGATGTGGGCATGATGTATCCTCTGCAATCTAGCGTTTCCACTTCAAAACCCCCAAAGGCATCAAATGTGCGAGCCGGAACAAAACACATTGTTGAAGCTACTTCGCAGTCCCCACGTGCAGTTTACAGTTCCCATGAGGAGAAACCACTTCTAGAACATCATGTTTTGGCTGTCTTGGACTTCATCCATTTCTACTATATATATATATATATTTATATTTATCCCACTTGCCGTGCCCGGTAATTTTTTGTTGTGTAAAATTTAAAACCTTTCCCAAAAGTGACATTTGTTGACCAACTGAGCGCTCAACTGTTGCTGGAATGCGACACACCAAATTTGGATTTGCTTAAGAAACCCGAAAAAGGAGAAAACATCACGAGGTTAGGGGACTCAACCACAGGGACATTGAAATTCCGCAAACACATGCAAAGCCCTACCCAACCCCGACGCCCAGCTCCCGCCGCACCCGCCACGGTTTCCCCGCCTCGAGGGCGTTCCGCAAAGCCGAGACCCTCCTTGGAGTGGCGGAGAAAAGGGCGAGAAAGTGGCGAGAACCCTCACATTCATTTGTGTGTTGATTGCTCAAAGCTGTGATTTGAATGGCGAGAAATGGCGAGAAATCGGGTCACCGGGTCGTCAGACCAACCGTGGCAGTGAAACGGAAGTGATAGAGACATGAAAGAAGGTGATGTTCTCGTGGGGCGTCCACCTCCAAGCTGGTGGGCTCAAGTCCCAGCAATCTCAAGAGCAGTCGGCCCATGATCAAAATTATCCCGGCGAGAGACCCCAAACAGTGTGCGTGTGAGGTCTAGAGGTGCAGCATGGTGTAGCAGCAGAAAGTCTACAAATCAGAGTGAGAGAGTGCGCATCTGAGAGCACAAAGTGCTGCGCACCTGCAACGAAATCTGCACTTCGAGGTTCACAAAGTGCTGCGCACCTGCCACGAAATCTGCACTTCGAGGTTCACTAAGTGCTGTGCCTGCCACGAAATCTGCACTTCGAGGTTCACAAAATCTGCACCTCGAGGTTCACAAAGCGCTCTGCCTGCCACGACTTCTGCACTCCGAGGTCCACAAAGTATACTGCGCCTGCCACGAAATCTGCATTTCAAGGTTCACAAGTGCTGCGCCTGCCACAAAATCTGCACTTCGAGGTTCACAAAGCGCTGCGCCTGTCACGAAATCTGCACTTCGAGGTTCACAAAGCGCTGCGCCTGCCGCGAAATCTGCACTCCGAGGTCCACTAAGTCAAGTATACTGCGCCTGCCACGAAATCTGCACTTCGAGGTTCACAAAGGACTGCGCCTGCCACAAAATCTGCACTCCGAGGTCCACAAAGTATACTGCGCCTGCCACGAAATCCGCACTTCGAGGTTCACAAAGTACTGCGCCTGCCACACTCTGTGAAAACGAAGCACATGTACAAAACTCACGACGAATTCACAGCACCTGTCACGAAATTAGAGCGCGTCCAGGATCACCACCATGTCCGAAGTGCTGCGCCTGAAGGTTTCACTCCCACTGTCGTTGACCATCTTCAAAGCCCAATACCACCTTGCACCAGGTCTCATGATTTTTTTGTTATACAAAAAAGGTGCATACTTTCCATGACCCACAGCTCCTATGTCATCGGTCTGTCCGGGGGTGCTTCCCCTGCATCATGAATGGTTTTTGTCATGCAGGAAAGCGACCCGCAACTCCTACAAGATTGCTCCCACGCACCTGTCTGTCTTAGGCGCTTGGCCTGCTAGATCGCTCTTGATGCCCATCGTTCTGAGCATGCCTGTGTCGTCCAGGAACGCTGTCGCCTCTTCAGGCGATAATCCAACTTCAGGGTCGAAGTGCTCCTTCGCGAAATACCCAGTCACAATCCAAGCCGCCACACATGCTTTGCGAGGGACGCTCTCCCATGCTCGCAGTGTTCGTAGCAGAAGGGTATGGTGATTGAAGCTGTTGGGACGGGCAGGCTGTCCGCTCGGCGCTATGGGGAGGGCATCGTAGCCTGAGGCACAAGTCTCAGGTCATCGTCACTGTTCCCAAACACAGAAGAAAGCGTGAGCCATGGGCCAAGCAGCGGGGACGCCGGTGTAGATCTGATTCACATGCGATGTCATCGGCGTCCACCAGTTCTAGCCGAGCCCTCAACAAATGGTGTACTTGGTCTATTGGCTGGCCGTTGGCGCTAAACCCGCCAGCCTCATGAGTTGACAATGCGAAGCGGGCACGCAAACATACACAGTATATCTACATATATGAACAACCACAGGTTGTAAACCAACACCATGACATAGGACTAGTGGTCACACACTCACAGGTTCAAAATCCAGCTGGAAGCACACAGTGAGCTTGCTCGCTCCATGCGGCCCTGATAGCGTCCAGGCCGCCTTTGAAGGTGTGAAAGCCTGACCACGCGTCGCATAAAAGAAGGGCTTTCTTGTCATGTGGCAGGCCGAGCTTGATCCTCTGTAGGGCCAACGCCGGGCTAATGAGGCCGTGTAGCAAAATGATGAACGTTTCGCCAGTCATAAAATGGGATGTTAAGAGCTGCGCCCACCCCCCAGAAGAAGTCCAAGGCTGAGCCTCCTCTTCGCAAACATCTCTGAATCCATCCGGCCCCTGTGCAAAGCAGAGCAGGCTTGAAAGCTGGTCTTTTCTGGCTTGCCGACACCTCTCAAGCATATATATATATATACTACCCTCTGATGAGTAAGGATTTGTGCCTCAGATGAGTTTGTCTTGTGGGCGCAGGAACTCCTAACACATGTGTCTGCAGACAGGTGGATGTACATAAAAAATGCCCAGCAAGCGTATGTGGCGGGCATATGAGTAAGGAGTTGTGTATGGAAGACACCCCGCGGCCAAAAAAGGAAAATCATAAATCGCTGCGAACGCAATGACACTACAAGCATGAGTAAGGAGTTGCGGCAACACCAAAGAAACACATCTTTTTGTCGGCTGACCTTGCATTTGCCCCAGCCATGAAATCTCATCTAGCCCACAACTCCTAACTCACCACTCCACATAACAATTGTTTTTGTCACCTGACCCTGCGCCAGCCATGAAATCTGGTACTCTCCTAGCTTTCTTCTCCAACCGTGAGCTGCCATCTCGATTGGCCTGTTTGATCTTTTTGTCCAGAATTGGCCGACCAGTCTCTCTTTTTCGCTTAAAAAGCCAGATATATTTAATATATATGTTTTTTCAGTCAAAAAACATGCTAATGATGCAGCCGGCCGCGGGCAGCATCATTCAAACCACGTCAACTCAAGACGTGCAGCCAAATCTGACACTTGTCTTCTCATCTGGACACACCTCCTAACTCATGTGGGCATTGTGTCCACAAGCCACGAAAACATTATCCTTTAGGAACTGTTTGAGCATACTCAAATTCTGGTTGTTTTCGAAATGTTTTGGGTGACGAGTAAGGATTTGCAGCAAAGTCAGGATGCTAAATTGGCATGTGCCTCCGTCAACTCCTTAGTCACTAGAGGCTAGCATATATATACATATATATATATATACATATGCACACACACACACCTTGCACATATCTATATATGCGAATGTATGTCCGGCCTTCTCCATTCCCAAGGTTCCTCTGCCAGCCAACTGAAGGCCAAATGGCTGCGCAAATTCTGGCTTCCCTGCTGAACCTGGTTACATGACATAAGACGTTTGTAATATGTCTTTTCTCATTCCTTTCCTATCTCATCATGTTTCATCATGCCTCCTGGTACTTACAACTCCTATCTCACGTCATTTATTCATCTTTTCCGGCAGCTTTCTGGATTTGTTTAAGCTATTCTTGTATGACCATGTTTTGATGTGTTTCTCTACTTTAAAGTCCATGACATAGGAGTTGTGTACATTGCTCAAAAATGCTTTAAGACCCATGATAAAGGAGTTGTAAAACCCACCATACGTTTTACACTTTGTCACTAGTCGAGAGTATATAATATATAGCTCAGGTCAGGTCTTTGATATGTTGCGACTGTACCATATCTTTTCCAGTTCCGACGCCAAGGTGTTTCTCTGTAGATCCCCTCTGTCTCTGTTTTTTTTTCTCTCTCTCTCTCTTGACCAAGTGGCTCGGTCATGGAGTTGCAATTGACATCCAAATCCTCGTGGGGGTCCCACCAAGATGAGAGCAACAAACATAGTTCCGGGACAAAAAGAAACTGGGAAAAGCATCATCACTGACTAGATCATCAAATCATCTTCCTCTTCAGGCCGTTCCATGTGATTCTTGACGTGGTGGATTCATTCGGGGCACGAATAAAAGGCTCCCCACCAAAAAGCGACCGGTCAAACTGACATATTTACCAGTCATACCTGAACCCATCCCTTATGTGAATCCATACTGACACCTTTTCATATTTAGAGGGGAAACCAATCCCCGAAAAAGGTGACCAGCAGGCTATCCACATACGAGACCTAGGCATAGGCAAGGAGTGTCTGGGTTTGGCCCTGAAATGCCCTGAAGAAGGCCCTGGAGTCGTGATTCGACTCTACAAGCCCTGGAATCGTCCTTCAAAAAGCTGTTTGTGTTTTTCACCGGAAGCTGTCAAAGGAGTTTGATCCAAATGAAGGATTTATAGATTATACAAACCCCTTTTTTAATGAACATGTAAATCGTCACTAAAATGTATTGGAAACCAT